TCAAACATAGTCCAAAAAAGCCTTCTTAAAAAATACATAGCGGTTAGGCAGCGGCTTGGCTCTGCCCCTGGCATTGCTGAAGTCTATGGGCGACGGTAACCACTCACCATCAGGTGGGCCGTATGCTCGTCTGCCTACAAAGGCAATAAAAAATAAAAAAAAACATTCCTGTAAACACTAGTGACTTTATGACCAACTGACAATTACAACTGTTTGTTTACCAAAATGTACACTACTAAGTATAAAAAACGTAGTTATGGGCAACAGTCATTGAGCAGCTTAACACTAAATTTGAATTGTATTGACGTCAGTTCGTTTGTTTACGAGTGGTTTACGAATGTCACAAACATAACTCGACCGCGTAAACGTAATGATTTGTTTTGATTACTTCAGTGTTACTCAAGTTTCCTGCTTAGATTTTTAACTGTTGGTAGGGCTGATGTGAGCCGGCTTTGTTAGTAGCCAGCATTCTGTAGACTTCCTTCTCAAGGAAATCATTCTTTCCGGTTTGAATGCCAGGATAGCCTTTATACGCGTTTGAGGCCTCGACCTTGCATCAATCAACGTGACTGATTCCATTTACGATGTAATGTCTATGGGCTGTGCAAAAAAAAAAAGTGCTCCTATTTCAAAGGCATACCTTCAGACGCTTTCGTCCTTACGGATCCATCAAATCTAATAACTCTTGCATTAGACGCCTTCAGCTCTAACACTAGGAGCAGGCTTAGGGACCCTGGTAACTGTACTCGTCGAACTCGGCAAAGAGTTCGACGGGTAACCTAACCCTATGCATCAGCCCGCTGAGTTTCTCGCCGGATCGCGATTCCGATCCGGTAGTAGATTTATTCGCGAAGCAGCTGCTCTTGACTTCTTAGGTCTCCTTCGGAGATGCTCAGGCAGCTGTTACCTAATCCCATCCCTTCTGGCTGAGCCTTTGCTCGCCCACCGGTCCTGGTGAAACTGAAAGCCTCCGGGCCACCAGTAATCCTTCAATTATAAAAAAAAAACTTCAGTCGCTGCACTTTTACCATATTTTTTTCAATTTTCAAGTACGTATCATAATATACTTTTTTGCACTGTAATTTGTTATGCACGTTTTGTAAAATTATGTAGGTACAGACGAGACGCGGAGTCGTCGACCTTGTCTGACGTAATAGGCAGCCACAGTAAATTGCCTCGTGTTTACGGTTTTTCATAATATGAAATTTCTAAGGTTTTGTCCCATTTAAACTTACCTTAGTAAATGAATATAATTTCCGTAAACTACCTTTTCGATATGGGGTACGGTTCCCTTAGGTCTTTTAAAATCATTTCATTATGTTATCACGCCAACACTTCAAACAAGCGAAAACGAATTAATAGGATTATATAGGTAAAAGCTCCTTATTCGCGGGGTATATGTTCCGTAAATATGCCGCGAATGCAGACACCGTGAATGTGGAATGGTAGTGGTTCAAATTGTTTTCGGTTGGCTACATATTGGAATACTTTTTATCAATGTATATGTACCAATTACATTCGCGAATAAAGAAATCTTTATCCGCGAATATAGAAATTGGGCCGCATTTTTTTTTTAAGCTGCGTATAGTGAAAACACGAATGAAGTAAGCGCGATTAAGGAGCCTTTACTATATGCATTAGGAAAACTTTGAATTCAGATTTTATGAAATTAACGACACGTTACTTCCTGCTCACACGTATGTATGTCTCTAGCCATCACGAGTAAAAAAGTGTGACCAGAAATATAATGGTATGCAAATTAAAAACTCACGGGTCGTAATTAATACTTAGTTCCGCAAAGCGACTATGTTAGGAACAGCCATTAAAACCACAACAAACAAAACATTATTATTATTTTATTTAAAAAACATGCTTAGAAAAATAACATTACATCGAATTTGTATCGTATGAGACATAATATCAGTTTTATACATAAACAACTATGCCTTAATATTAAAGCCTCAAAACAAAATGTGTATCAAACGCACAAGGCACAAGATTAGACATACATAATTATACTTAGTTTACACACGGAGAGTCAATATACCGTAAATTTAGCTTTAATTAATAAAGGCAAAATAGGTACATACATAAAGAACAGATCTAATAATTACAAATGATAATTTTAGAATTGTACTCAAAATTGGTAAAAAATTACAATTTAGAATTATATTTTTGTATGACAAGCATAATTTCCAGTTATGCAACATAATTGTTAAAAAATAAATATGTACTATATATGTACAAAAATCGTAAAGAAACAATGTTATCGAATTTAATTATTAGCACGAAATACAATTTTCAAAATGCCGATTAAATAATCCTATTCTAACTTTGGCAGGTTTTGTGACCAACGTCTAAAACTAATTTAATTTTAAAATGTTATCCAAAAATAATTTCATATCATTTCCCGCGGCAACTACCATAAACAACCTAACGTTTAGATTTCTGTTTCTATTTCAATATGGATTAACGTAAAAATACATCTGCTTATCGTAATTTTTATTTTAATGTAATATTTTTTTTAATACTGGCTGTTTTTCTTTTCGGAAAAATAAATATTTTCCTTTGAAAATGTACATGTAAATTACACTAGGCGGGAAACTAAAAACCATAGAGACAAAAATCGAAAAACATTTCAAAATCCCATATTTCATACAGAACTTCATAGTGAATAGAATCGGTTCCATTCATTCGTATTGTTTTCAAGGCTCATGCTATATAAACTTAAAAGACTAGGCGATAACTAGTGGAGAACGAATACTCAGAGATTCTTGCTGAACGAAGCGATTTCGCGTCCGGAACGTTTTGCTGGCGCGAACGCTTTCACTTTTAAAAGTCTGCGTTAAGGCACGATTCATAAGACTACAAGTTAATAATAAAAATCTAAAGTTATCTCGATGCTGTTATGCTGTTATAACTGTCTTGTGCGGGACCACACACAGATCGTAGAGACATCGATTTGCAAGCGTTTAGAACGCATTTTGCTTTTGTCTTTTTTTTTTTAAATAACAGCGCAAGTTCATTACACTCGATCGTGTATTTGTACGTTTTATTTCATCTGTTCACTATTTTGTCCATGAATTGAATTGGCTCAAAGGAATGTTTGGGTATTACTTTGAAAAGGAATGTTATTAATTATTGAATGTTGAAAGTTTTTATTTTTGTACTGAATTTTAATTTTTTTTATTCTAACTTTGAGTACCAATGTCTTTATTAGGTACCTAAACGAAAGACACTTTACTTGAGGTATATTTTATATGTACGTTGATTTTCCGTAATATTTAGTGAAAGGCCGCCTAAGAATATAGGTACATACAAAAGGGCTATTAATAAAATTGTACTTTTATTATTATATCGGATGAATAATGGCAAGTTTTATCCGACAACAAACAAACCGAATTATTTTATTTTATATATTCACAATGTTTTATTTACTTTTTTTATTATTTACAGAACGTCTTTGAATTTTTCAAAGCGATCGTCTATATATTTTATATTTGAGAAAAAAAAGCTTTAAAACATTTTCATCGTGCAGTAAACAATATCACACATCAAACGGAACTCAAATGTTAGTTTTTTTTTTTAAACAGACACACAATGTAAGTAGTACTAGTATTCGCATTGTTATGAAATTAAATTATATATTATAGTGTGATCTTCGAAATTCAAAAAAATAAAATAACACACCTTCATATACACCACCAGTAGGAGTGGGTGATATAAATCGTATATAGATTCAATATCTATATATCGCAGCAATATCGTTGAATCCGATATCGCCCCGCACGAAATCTATATATCGATATCAGCCGATACACGATATTGCTCGATGTGATGCGCATCGGCATATCGTACCGATTCGTGAATCGAAATCTATATAACGATATCAGCCGATACACGATATTGCTCGATGTGATGCGCATCGGCGTATCGTACCGATTCGTGAATATCAGCAATATTCGTTTGGTTCGTATCGAATCGGCCAGAGTGAGTGAGCGGACGATATCCCTATCGTGCGCTCACTCACATATGATGAATGAAACAGAAACAGGCATTATCCATACAATTATAAACCTTATATTTAAGTCCATACGTCTGTAGATTATTCTTAGTGTATCAGCAGGATACAATTTAGGAAAAAAGTTTCAACTTTCGACCCTAATTAGAATGCAGTATAGCCTATTTGCACCGTTGAATTTAATTTCACGCGCTTTGACCTTGAACTAAAATTTTTGGATAAGTGTTTATAAATACTTAAAAGTTTTTTGTATTTGATTTTTAAAGTACACATTTTTCTATTTTTAGTTAAATCCAAATAATTGAGTTTATTTGTTGTGTTTGTATTAAACTTTTGAAAGTTTAGAAACTTTTATTTTAACATAAACTTAGTAAATAATAAAATTTCTGAATTAATTTTGTAGTGTATGATGTATAAATATTATCAAATGAACTTCTAAATACGTCTCCGATATTTTCTCGAGACTTCATCTAGGCAATACTCACGTTAGGTACCTTAGGCGCGAACGAAATCGCGAATGTTACCTAAAATATATGTATTTAGTATTATGAAATATTATACCTAATCTACACTCTTTTGGTATATTTTGTAATTTTAAATTAAGACACAAAATACTAAAAACTGAAAATAATGTAGCCGGTCCTAAGCCTGGTAAAAGCATGAAGGAAAGTTTTTTTGATATTTTTATTTTCATGTTCTTTTTATTACTTTAAGATGATATTATAAATTGATATCAGAAAACCAACCGTATAACGTTGACCTAAATCTATATCTACTACGATAATACTTAATACTTACTTAAATCTATATCTATCAGCGTATCGTTTCAAATCTCAAATATCATGAATCGAGAAAATCTACTAGCATCCATCAATATATAGATTCAGAAAATATATAGATTCAATATCCGATATTGATTTTCGATATATAGATACGATTCGATACGCGGCAAAACCGATATTACCCACTCCTAACCACCAGTAATTGACAAAAATAAATATAAATAAATTTATTTTTATCGAGAATATTGTAAATGAATTATTTAGTGAAAATCTATACGGTAAATATGCGGACAAATGGGCGAACTGGTCTTTATAGTGATGTGTCCAAAACCTAGATAGAAATCTGAAATTATTACCTTTACCTTGAGTATTATGTGATAGGCCCTTTGAGTAACAAAGTAGATCCGACGTACACTTGAGAACATACAAATAAATTCCAAATATTTTTTGCATATCGACCAACTACCCATAGACACAAACCACTAAGTTTCTCGCCGGATCTTCTCTCTGTTCAGCGAAGCACTAATCTTGCTAGGGCCAGTGTTAGCAATGAGCTCACCTACCAGTCCGAGCGTAGCTGGAAACTATTCCAGGGACTACCCTTACGCTGCAAGCGCTTAGATAGGCGAAAAACAGGACCAATTGGGAATGACGTCATTAGTAGGTATTTTGTAAGGCTCTAGTGTTTACACCTGAGAGTGACGTCACGGAGTAATCAGCGTCGCGTTAAACGAATTACGACACACTTAAAAAAAGTATGCGTGTCAAACTGTTGTCCGAAAGCGCTTTCCGAAAAGTTGCGTCCACGTGTTTTGTGAGGAAAACACGCTATGTTGAAATCGACTCACATTTTTTATATCGAAACTTCTGTACGAGTTCTTACGTGGAATTCGGCTACGCTAGAGTTAATTTGCATGTGTTTTTGTGAGGACAAGGTATTTGACCTCGGCGTTTTGGACGCTGTTTATTTCCGGTAATCGAACGGGCGGTGTATATGGCGGGCGCGTGCGGGCGCGTCAGTAGTAGTCGTGCTGCGGGTGTCGGTAACTCACGGCGGGCACGGGCGCGCGCTCCAGCCGCGAGTCCAGCGCCGCCAGCTGCTCCTCCAGCCGCAGGGACGAGCTCTCGAACCCGATGCCTGCACGCACAGTCAACACGGCCTTCATATTTGCCAACGCAGAGGGGATCTTAACTGTCTCATAGGGGGGCAATGCTAGGGGCAGCGGCTTAAATCTACATTTCTGAAGTCTATGGGCGACGGTAGCCACTCACTATCAGGTGGGACGTATGCTCGTCTGCCTATAAAGGCAATAAAAAAAGTTGAAACCGCTAGTTAATATCTAATTGTCTCGTCTGTCTTTAGTGAAGTCGTCATGGCCTAAAGGATAAGACGTCTGGTGCATTCGTGTTCGATGCGATGCACCAATGTTCAAATCCCGCCGGCGAGTACCAATTTTTCTAATGAAATATGTACTTATAATTTGCGTAATTACTGGTGGTAAGACATATTGTGAGTGCGCACGGGTACGTTGTAGATGTCTAGGGGCTCCGGTTACCACATAACACCAGGTGGGCTGTGAGCTCCTCCATCCATATAAACTATAAAAAGGTTGGTAAGAATATTCACTCTGGAGAATCATGAATATAATTATCTCCCATAAATTCTTAGAATAATGAATAATTGACAAGTTGTAGAGGTTGTATAGGATGGGCAGTGTTACCGCTGGAGTTGTCGTTGTGCGGCGAGTAGTTCCTGCGCGTGAGGTTGCGGTACCGGCCGGTGACCCCCTCGGCGCTGGAGAAGGAGGCGCCGGAGGAGAGCGCCACCAGCTCCTCGCGGCTGGAGTGGTTCCGGAGCGACGCGCCGCCCGCCTCGTACGCGGCGCTCGTGTGCTTCTGCAGCACCTTGATCATGGCGTCCCGCTCTGCCACCTTCGACTCCAGCTCTTTCACTCTACAGTATACGACGTACGGACTACCGTTAGATCAGTTACTGGTGGCAGGACCAATTGTGAGTCCGCGCGGGTAGGTACCACTACCCTGCCTATTTCTTCCGTGAAGCAGTAATGCGTTTCGAGGTAGGTACCACCACCCTGCCTATTTCTGCCATGAAGCAGTAATGTGTTTCGGTTTGAAGGGTGGGGCAGCCGTTGTAACTATACTGAGACCCTAAAACTTATATCTCAAGATGGGTGGCGCATTTACGTTGTAGATGTCTATGGGCTCCAGTAACCACTTAGCACCGGGTGGGCTGTGAGCTCGTCCACACATCTAAGCAATAAAAAATAAAAAAAGATCAATGTAATCTGAAGGCAAACATTCTATGCCTCGGATCCACTAATGCATGTGCAGCACGGTTACATCCTACAGCCGGTGTCTGATACATAACTGGCGCTTGTTCACAAATGACTGCAGCCATGTAAGAAAACTATCATTTAGTAAATAACTGCGTGGTGTTCTAAAATAGCACCACTGCATCTACTCCCATGGATGTCGTAAAAAGGATTCACCTCACTTAAACGGTACACTCTGAATGTCAGGGGAGGGAGAGTTGTCGGCTTGTGCAGGCTTGAAGGGCGAGAAGGCCAATAGAGACTGAGACTCGGATCACGTGTTTCAAGATACGAGGCGGCACTAATGTAATGATGTCTATGGACTTTGGCTTTGGCCACCCGGAAAATGTTCACATCACAAAACATTCATACAGGTGAGAGATCAGTCATTATTTGAATGATAGCTCTGATCTATATAACAAGCCCGGTCTATGCGGGGGGTTGGGGGGGCACGGGCTACAGGTGCGTCGGCGGACCTGCTCTCGAGGTCGGCGACCTTCTTCTGCGCGGAGTGCAGCTCGTCCATGTGGCGGATCTTCTCGCTGCGCGCCTCCGCCATAAGCCGCTCCGACTCGGCCGACGTTTTCTCCAGCGCCGCTATTTTTGCGTCCCTGCGATCGGTTACACTGCGTTTACATCAATGTGTTACATTAAGCAACTTTTATTATGAACTATCTGACCCGGCAGACTTCGTAGTGCCTCAATCGAGAAATAAAAGACCTAAACTTTTGTATAAAATAAACTTAACACAAACAAAAGGAATCCGTCCGACGGGGGACACCTCAAAAGAAAAAGAAAATTGTTATTTTTATTTAATTCCGAGCGTTTTCATATTTATGTACCTTTTAAACCTTCTCAGGACTTTCACAAATAATTCAAGACCAACATTAGCCAAATCGGTACAGCCGTTCTCGAGTTTTAGCGAGACTAACGAACAGCAATTCATTTTTATATATATAGATAGATAGATACGCAATTCGATTCGAGAAAAAAAAACCGTATGCAAATACTTATGTATGTAAGGAGTTGTACTTCTTGAGCGCAATTAAATTATTTGCCAACTCAATAATCATCCTATTTATGTAATATTTATTTGCGATAAGTTTAATAATAGTGACATAATTATAGTATCAATATTTTAGTACACTTTTTTTTGCAATAATACTAGTCACAAGTTAAAAGTACACTGAATTGTTCTCAAACGTAGGACTTCAAAAGAATTATGTGTAGTAGAACATAACTACATCCAGCGACTTTTTTCCACATTTATGAGTTTACATAGATGCTAAACAATTTATAAACCACCGTCATTAGACATTTAAGCCTGAAGAAGCACTAATTGAACAAAATAAAACAATTTCCACGACTTCTTTCCTCGTATTCCCGCCAAAATGTATGTATATAATAATTATTTTAACAATTGACTTAGAGGTTTTTCCTGTCAGCAAAATCTCAATTTTATTTTTCCCTAAATTAATATCGATGAATTGGATGAACGCCGCTTTAGATTCTCACTATTAATAGCTACTTCGGAGGCTGATTGAGGCAAACATTAAGACATGATGAAGAATTGTCGAAGCTTGGATACTGTCGATGCACGGACATCGAGGATCGCGCGGCGCGGGCGCCGGGAGGAGGACAGCGGCGCGAGGTCGCGGTTCTACATCGCGCGATGCCTCACTACGTGCAGCAACAAAATTTTAAAACGTATCGAATTTCTTCATTAGATTCACTCGTCTTGACAGTACGTAAAATAAATAAAAATCACACATTTTTCAAACTTGAATTTGGAATTATCTTCTTTAAAATTTAATCTTTTAATGATACTAAAACCAATCAGATACAAATAGTATAGCCAAAGAGATTTTATTACAAGTTCATACATACTATAATGCGAAAAGACTTTTTCCCCAACCTATGATATATTTATGGTCGTGCCGCCTGGGCATGTGTCCTGAAGAGAACTGATGCTGTACATATCGACGCTTGAAAGGCAAACGTGACTAAGCGACAATGCGTGAACTTTACAGTAGACTAATTTAATATTGAAATACCTGAAAAAAATATTTTAACGAATCTAGCTGTAGGATTGAAATGATTTTAATAGAACTAGAAATAAAATTTTTTTGTGCATCGAATATGGTTATGCCTATCATTTACGTATAAAGCAGTTATTGTCGCTTAGTCACGTTTGCCTTTCAAGCGTCGATATGTAGAGTGCGCGGCGAGTACGTACTTGGGTATGGAGGCGGCGGAGACGGCCGCCTGGCGGAGCGCAGCCTCCTCCAGGTACCGCTGCTCCCACTTGGCGCACTCGCCCTCCAGCGCCAGCAGACGCTCGTCGCGCTCCCGCAGCTGCCGCCGCAGCTCCGCCTCGCCCCCCGCGCCGCCCGCACCCGCCGCCGCGCTGCCGCACTTGCACTCGCGCTTCCTGACCGTACGACACCGACATATTCTTTATCACACTACACATGTCATCGATACGTCAACGTCGAATACATTTTTAATGCTATTACAGCTATAAAATGAAGGGGACATATACAGGGTGTCTAGACTCATTCACTCACTCTAAAAACAATAATTAAAAAAAGTTTTAATGATTTTTGTATTCTATTAATAGCATAAATTGCACTCAATATGATGTGCAATGTATTTATATTTAAAAAGTTAAATAATCAGATGAAGGAGCATACTTGGTTCCAAATAGCGAAAGAATTCAACAGTGTCTTTGTTTTTAATAAAATTAATTGGGTCTTGAGTTTTGGACATGACTTGATGAACATCTTTACTTACTGAGTTTGACACCAAAAAAAAGCTGTTAATTCCGAGCGATCAATTTGAAAATAAAGTTTAAACCCAATCTTATACTTTAATAGTTTCCACGTGACCGCTAAAATTTTCCACAGTTTAAACTGTGAAAGATAATTGATCTATGACTGAAATTACGAGTAGATCGTTAGTGACGAGTGATTTGGAATTTAGTTTAAAGTGCGATTGATATAACGGGCCTTAGTTAGTGTGCGCGCGCTACCTGAGCGTGTTGAGCTCTGCCTCGAGCTGCGCGCGCAGCTGGCGCTCGGAGTGCTCGCGGCGGTCGGCGGCGTGCTGCAGCGAGCCCAGCGCGCGCTGCAGGCCCAGCACGCGCTCCACGTAGCCGCCCGCGTGCCGGCACTGTCGACATACATACATACACATAAATTAGTTATAGATAAGCAACTCAAGCACTCAACGATAATGTTTACGGGCGTCGGCCACTAGATGGCTTCGCTTTGATTAGTTTCTCATTGCTTCTGTTGATAGCAGTGACAATTTACGTATCCTTTATTTTAATTTTAATAAAGTATTTTGTAAATTTTCAGAGACCACTAAATCAATTCGTCTACAACAAATAAAGCCTTGTACATAAAAGTCGCATTAGAAGTTCCACTTCAATTATTTAATTGCAATAATTGCAATAACTGTCTAGTAGGGTTGACAAGTAGGTCTCCCTGCGGCCGCCGGTTACCTCCTCCTCGAGGCGCACGACGTTGGCCTGCGCGTTGGTGAGCGCGGTGTCGAGGATGTCGATGTGCGTGCGCTGCTCCTGCAGGGTGGCGCGCTGGGCCGCCATCTCTATCTCTTGTCGCTCCTTGGCGCACGCCAGCTCCTTATCTGTCAACAGACAATCCACTTCAGATACCCATTCCAGGACGCACTTCTCCATGGACAACGTAATATTAACTAACATAACTGTTCATAAATATTATGTTTATTGAATGCGATCAAAATTGTAATTGTTAAAACTATTTTAATCGTTTAAATGTTCAAAGCTACAACGTAACGTTAACTTATGTTTTTCTCAACAAGGATATACTTACACCATCTGACTACAAAGTAAAACTTGTTCAATGTTACCATCGGTTAGTTAGACATTTCATGTAGTATGTGCCGACCGGCCGGCTACATTATCCGTCGCACTAACGATCGATGGGTCACAAAAGTACTGGATTGGAAACGTCGTACTGGAAGTCGCAACGTTGGCAGACACCCAATGAAGTGGACCGACGACCTGGTCAAAACAGCTGGAAGGGACTGGATGCGAAAGGCAAGAGACCGAAAGGAATGGAAAAAATTTGAAGAGATCTACAATCAACATTGGGTGGAAACGGGTTGACGAAGAGATAGTATGTATATGTCGGAGAAGCCACAATTATTAACACTATCGTCAGACATCGTAGGGGCGAATAGGGTGATCGAGTTAAGAGAAATATTGAGTACACCAATCACGTTTGTTGTCTTAGAACAATTTAGAAATCTTCTCTTGACGTTTGCAAACGAAAAAGAATGAGTTCTTCGGACGGAGGCAGCGCTCTTCTAGAAGGTTGGTTGGTAAGTGGGATGGTGTCTTCATCGGCTAGGCTCTGTCGTAGCACGAAGTTAGCAGTTTCGACGATATCGCAATCGTGCTGCGTTTAGTTTAGCTACCAAACGAATGACCGACATAATATATAACAGTAATGAAATAATTTCGTTGACCACGAAGAGGCCAGCAACCCCCCCCCCACGTCCGACGAGCACAAGGGTGGTGGGTGCTCCCCCCCGCGCGGCGTACGTACTCTGCGTGATGAGCTGCGCGATCAGCATCTCCCTGCTCTGCAGCTCCTTGCGCAGCGCGTCCGCGCCGCCGTCGCCCTCGGTGCGGATCCCCTGAGACAACACCTCCACCTACGATTTTGTTTTTGTTTTAGTTCAAATAATTCACATGAAACTTAAACATTAATAAAAACTCGTTATCCCCCGGTAGTCGAAATTCGATTATAATCAATTTTATTGAAATTGTAACTTGGTTACACTATTATGATTCTATTGTCAAATACCTTCTATAATAACAGATTTTGCCAAGACTACACTTTATACAAATATTAATAAAGACAAACAATATTTAATTTATTCTCAATTTGACCACAGACTATGAGCAATAAGAAAAGTTTACCAATAAACAAATAGTATGCATGCGTGTGTGTGTCACCATGTGTCAAACACATGGTAGTGTGTGTAATGTTTTTTTTTATTGATTTAATGTAGTTTCTATGTATAAATTCTCCTTCTCTATATTCTCTATAAGTGTATATACTGGTATATACTGGTGGTAGGACCTCTTGTGAGTCCGCACGGGTAGGTACCACCACCCTGCCTATTTCTGCCATGAAGCAGTAATGCGTTTCGGTTTGAAGGGTGGGGCAGCCGTTGTAACTATAATTGAGACCTTAGAACTTATATCTCAAGGTGGGTGGCGCATTTACGTTGTAGATGTCTATGGGCTCCAGTAACCACTTAACACCAGGTGGGCTGTGAGCTCGTCTACTCAACTAAGCAATAAAAAAAAATTAAAAAAAAAAAGGGTGAGATATTTTATACTCCTCCGTCGTTTGATCACTTAGATGCGAAACCATTTGATATAAATGACCTACATTATATTTCTGTTTACCTGTTAAATTGTTTTGAAAGACAATTTAGAAAATAAGTAATTGTTTTTATGTTAATGGGGTTAGGGTTGAGGAAAAAAATAGAGGTAATTAGGAGGGAAGACAATTAAGAAAATCAGTAATTTTTTTTATGTTAGTGGAGTTAGGGATGGGGGTAATCAGGGGGAAGACAATTAAAAAAATCAGTTTTTTTTTATGTTAGTGGGGTTATTGTTGGGCACCTGATGTTTGAGCGCGCGGTTGAGGTCGTGCAGCCGCCTGGTGTCGGCCTGCAGCCGCACGCGCGCGGCCCGCTCCAGGCGCTCCCGTCGGTCACACGCGCCCACCAACTCTTCGTGGGCGCTGCGGACTTTTTCCACCTCCTCTTCTAACTGCAAGTACACGCCACCCGTTACTTTCATACTCGAGTCTGGCCGCTCGATCCGAACTACGTGCATTGCGATCTAGGAAAGCGAACGCCAGTCCCTACAGAAGCAAACGGAACACATGAATACTCGGCGGCCTGAATGCACGGGATGATGAATGGCCGCTTCCAATTCGGAATTTTTTATCTGAAGACAAGGGGAAGACACAATTCAGAGTTTTTTAACTGAAGACATCAAAAGTAAAGGGGTAAGATTAAAAGAAAATATTTACACAATCAACAAAAATCTTCTTATCTCAAATTTCGCAGTGGCACAAGATGAAATTCTTTGAAATCGAATCAGGAATGAGATGATTCGCAGAAGAACTAAAATAAGTGACAAAGCCCGAAGTATTACGAGGTGGCAATCAGGGCAGATTTTTCGAAGAACAGATAGCTGGTGGAGGCGAGTGGCGACAGCGCACCGATCGTGGAAATCCACTGGATACAAGTTGTGGCTCACTTTGGGGGAGCTTTGGTTTAGCCAACACTATTTTCCACTAAATAAATAAATAAAAGGGGACAAGACATATGGTCACCAGATCAAATCAGGATTCTAAAAATTAATATAAATATATACCGAAAATATTTAAATATTAACCACCCAAACAAACAGCCCTATGTGAGAACCGAACCTTCCAGCATCGGCCTAGTACTCCCGCTGACAATTGCTCCTCCGGGTCAATAAATATACGTCCGACGGTATGCCTGTAATGTGAGGGTGTGTCACCTTGGTCGTCTTGGCGACCCTCTCGCAAGCGTCGGCGAGTTGTCGTTTGAGGTGCTGGTTCTCGGCGGCGAGAGCGTCCAGTACTGCGGCGAAGGCGTCGTCGGGCTCCTCGAGCGAGCCCTCGCCGCCGCTGCACCAGCCGCTCGACTCGGACCCCCCCGGCACCGCGCGGACACCCACGCTTTGGCAAAACCGTCCACATCACTATTCACCTTAATCTACAGATATATTGAATTCAACGATCATATGTGCACGTTTTTGTTAACATACTGTTGTTGGAAGTTGAACATTTTTAAATATAGCTTTAGAGATCATAAGATTTAAAATAAAGATTAATAACATCAGTAAAATGTTTTTTTTTATGCATTCAGCAATTGGGCATAATTATATGACGTCAAACTCCATTTTAGTATGGGCCTTTATTGTTCCAGAGTCAAATTTTCTTCGATAAGCCGCGCGATCCGATAACCCTTTTACCGTACTAGTTAGCTAGCAGCTAGAAGCTGCCTCGGATTATATCTGCGACTCAGGCGACGGGACAATGGAAAGACACCGTCGCCTTAAGCATGTCCTATCGGATACTCCCGACCTACTCTCGGTACTTTTAGGTATAAAAGGCAAAGAAAATTCATTTCATTTACCCGGAAACATTTTTTTCGCTTCCACCACACCAAGTTAGACCAGAGACACTTTAAATAACAAACAATTAACTCCGGAATGAGGTTTGTTCTTCAAAATTATTTCATAGCTATGTTATGACGTGTCCTTCTTCAAATATTAATTTATATTTCACTTATATGACAACTACTAAAAGGAAATTCTTGTAATTTTCATGGTAGACAGCTGTCGGTTTTTTTTTTCTTAGTTAGGTAGACGGGCTGACAGCCCACCTGGTGTTAAGTGGTTACTGGAGCCCATAGACATCTACAACGTAAATGCGCCACCCACCTTGAGATATAAGTCCTAATGCCTCAGTACAGTTACAACGGGTACCCCACCCTTCAAACCGAAACGCAAAGTTGGTGTTGATTTAGGCAAAATTTGTACAATTCTAGTTTTAATTTAAATCTAATCTAAGACGTACATCAACTCACCTGGTTAGATCGGGCTGTGATCTTGACAAATTCAATTTCTCTTTGCTTAGCTTAGTTTTCGACGCTTTGCCTTTATTTTTTCGAGGTTCCTCCCTCAATGGAGGAGCTCGAGGCGAGGCAGGAGGCGTGAGGCCGTGGGGTGTAGGCGACTGAGCCACCTCTTTCGCAAGGTGTTTTAATACTGACGACTGATTTAAAAAATCGTCTGGTATTTCATTTATTTCCTGTCGTCAATAATAGCAGAGGGTTAATCAAAAGATTCACAAACATTTTGATCCTATAGATGGATTTTGTTTTGGATAGTTTTGAATGGAATACTACCATCCTTAAACTAGGTAGTTGTGATATATCGATTGATACACTTAAGAGTTGTCTGAGCGTATCATATCGACAACTGACGACAAACCTATTTGAGAATCATCTGATTAATTACAATAAAATTTGAAAACTATTTTATGTACCTATTAGTATTACTTCAAATAATCATGTGTGACATATATTAGTTTAGTTTATGAAGTGATAAAAATTATAAAATTTGTATTGTTAATAGATCAAATTCAGAAAAAAATCCTTACCTGAACACCATGATCCGGAGGGCTAGTGTATATCCTTTGGCCGCCAATATCAATGTAGTTAGCTGTGCTTGTAACTGGTTGTTCTTTATGACTCTTTGGTAAAGGTATACCGCTTGGTTTCTTACCAACTTCAGCCTTTTTAAGTGTATGATATGGTGATGATTGTGTAGCAGGGTGCTTTACTTCACTGCTTGAACGTTCATGTTCACTATTAAAATTTAAACTAACATTTATTTTTTACCATTTCAAAATTTGTATAAAGCTATTAGCTTATTTATTATTATATTAAATATATTTACTAAACTAAATCAATTAGTGAAGGTAGCTGCCTTCTTTGTTTGTTATATCGGTCAATATTCGCTGATATTGGTCATTATTCCCTGTTTTTTGTGTGTAGTAGCTATTAACAAACTTTAATATTATCAATTAAAACTAAATGAATTTTTCCCTTCAAAACAAAAATTAACATTAATTTTAATAAAATGAAACTAAATCTTGAGATGTAAATGATTCTGGTTGAATTTTGAACAATTAGTGAATATAAGTTATATAAGTCTTCACTTAATAGAAAGTTGAGTTCAAGTTTCTATTCAGAAAAAAAAAGAAAGTTTCAATTCTGACTCATTCATTAATAGTATAAACTAAATAATAAATATGTCTTTGTTCTACAAACCGTATAGGTGTGGGTCTTGATGGCCATGAATCATCCTGGTTGTGAATTATTAGAGTGTTGTATGAGGATGACGACACATCTAAAGAACTTCTGTTACTGTTTGAACCACCTACTGAATCTTTCAGTGAATTACGATTGCTTCCTGGGATGCTTTCCTAAAATAAAAGTTTTTTTTATATGTTGTTCACTAGATATTGCAAAGTTCTCATAAGTGATGATTGAGATCAAAGCCACTCTATCATTGTACTAACAGTTACTATCTGAGCTTCAATATGATACACACAACTTAATCGGTAGGCAGCGGCTTGGCTCTGCCCCTGGCATTGCTGAAGTCCATGGGCGACGGTAACCACTCACCATCAGGTGGGCCGTATGCCCGTCTACCTACAAAGGCAATAAAAAAAAAAAAAAAATTGTAGGAATAAGAACCTAAGCTGTCATACACCTCCAGAAATGACATAAATTTTGTATAAATTGCAGGTTTGTAATGTGGCTTGCTTTGTGCTTTACTATGTGACTCCAATTCTTTATTTATTCCCACAAAATTTCTATCAGAAGGTAAACTTATTCATTACTTGACCAGAACAAGGACTGCATAGCAACATGGCATAACAATTTTATAATAATATCAAACTTTCTAGCATTGAAGTTTAAGCAAAGTTTAAGTGTAAGAATAAAGGGTGCCTATAGCAGTGTTTGTTTTTTTAATAGTACATTGTGCACCAAGGGAGAAAAGTAGGATGTTTCCTCCCACGTGTAAAATTGCCCACGTGGCAAATTTAACTGTTTTTTTATTTTTAAATAAATTACTACTAATTAAATAAGAACTGTCTGATGAACTCATCTTTGATTAATACTTCAGTATTAAATTTTATTGCATTTTGTTTATTTCACTTTTACTCTAAACACAATATTGCAAATTACCTGAGCACAATGGTGGAGAATTTTAGGTGCGTGAGAGCAAACGTAGACACTAACGCGCATGTGCACTTGTACCCAGGGAGGAAAAAAGTTACACTTTCTTCCCTGTACAGCAGGAGGAAAACGCAACTTTCAGCATAGGTAGGAGAAAAATATATTTGTTTATAAATTTTACATTCTAATTTAAATTTGAAAAGATATACATACCTTCAATGAGTTTCTATTATTATTTATTTGGCTCTGGTTCTCTTGTCCCTGTGGTTCAACCCGAGCTGTATGCCTGACCACATAACGTTCCTCCCTTGATAAATTTTCATTCGAAGTCGATACATCCGTTTCACTGCCAGATAAACTTTGAGGGAAACTGCCAGGCACTATTAATTACAGAGGAGTACAATTTAATTTCCATGTGAAATGCTTACTTTATAACTCAGTCTAGGTCGATCATGTAATTAAACTTACACTATTTCTATATTTAAGAAACCTTTTCTCAAAGAAACCTATATAACAAAATAAACTGCGACCAAAAGGGAAAACAAATTGATCCTGTTTACCTCAAAATTGTGATTTGTTAATAAAAATACAACAAGCTTTTAACAACCAAAATAAAAATTATAGTAAACCAAATCTTAATTGGAAATAAATACTTTTAAAGAATCATAAAAAAATTGTAATTCTATTTCTCTAGTTCATTTAGCTAAATACACCGCCATAATTCAGCAATGAATTTATGTTAAAGCTCTAAGATTTGAAAGGCCAGGAATATCAGATAGTTTTAGGGTTGTGTTTTTTTAAACTATTTTTGACAAAACAAGCATGGAAACATAGGGTTTGATTGAGTTGACATGCAAGATGATCCTTATAAGTTAACATTTTTATTTTTAAGTTCATTTCAGTGCCTTGAAGATAAAATTCTTTTTTTTTTTTAAATACTCCAAGGGTACTAAATGTTTACTAAAGTTGTGTAAACCTCTCATCATCATCATCACAGCCCCCAGATGCATATGCTATTGAGACGAAGAATATCATAAATGCAAAAACTGCATTTTTAATGTTAAGCAGTATCTTTCTTAGATATATTTATACTTCAAAATTTAAAAGAAAACAAAAAGTTAATTTATACTATGCATTCCAATTATAAATTAAGGACAAGGTTACAAATTGGGTGATGGTAAACATGACTAATCAGATAACAATGCAATCTTAATTGTATATTATTGTAACAATCACCAGTTTGTTTCTGTGCTCTCTGTATGTTGTTCGTAAACGAAAGGAACCGTCCGGTTGGCCTCATTGACCCCATGTTATTGTAAAATATGACTTCACTTATTTTTTTACAACCATTTCACCACAGATAAACACAGCTACATGAGTTTTCTGAAAGAGAAACAACCCACTCCTTTATTGAAATGCCTTCAATAAGCGAAATAATAGTATACTATACGTAGACTACGTCGTCAACCACGCAATATTTAATAACTAAAATACACAAGATTTATAAATTGAAGGAAAAATTTCATATCGTTTCTATAACTAATAATTTCGACATCGATACTAGGATATACCTTAAAAAGCAAACTCACAATCTTTCATAAAAATCATTGATTTTGAAGTCAGATTTTTAAAAACTTCGAAACGAAATAGGTAGGTATGTACTACCTCAAAAAGCTTTTCTGAGCAACCAAAAAATATTTTGATATTTTGATCTACGATTTTGATGGCGATGGCGATTGGCATTTTTCATTTTGTTCAATTAGTCAGGCAAAGGGAAATTACACATTTGTATGAAACTTAGTCTGTTTCATAGTCTTGAATTATCATTTTTCTATACTGCAATTTTTCTGAGAAAGAACCACATAGTTAAATTATTACACATCTAGGAATACTAGAGGATAGATGAGAACTCTTTCTTTTATAATCGTACACAGCACTGTTTATACAACGTATTCGTTCCGTGATTCGTTAACAATTTCGCAGGACTTGAACCATTCAGACAAACAGTCGTGGCTTCTCGAGTTCTTCCAAAGAGTCCACTAAAGTCTATATAAAACCACCATTTTATTGAGACTTTATTTAATTCCATCTCATCTCGTTTCGTTTAATTTCATCCCAGTTGGTGACAGCCTCAAATAAATTAACTTTATCTCAATTCATCCATACAGTTTTTCACTCCATATTATTTTTCATTTAACAGAAAATTTTAAAGATTAGACTGTATGGTTATGGCAAATTTATACGGGGTCAGTAGCTGTCGCCAGTGCTGGCACCGAGAACTGACCCATACGATTTATACGCAGCCAGTATTTCGTCGGTAGTCGAGGATATATCTTATGGCTATTTTTGTAAAATAAGTGCGGCAAAATGAATTCTCGAAAACAGCATAAAATCAGAGTTAACAATTTGTTGAGAAAATGTACCTTTGTGATGATGTAAGAACTAACTGGTATGTTAGAAGAAGAAATATCTAAAAAGAAGCGGATTTGGGATAGATGACAAAGATCGAACTGGAGCCTCTGCTTTGTTGTTAACCCAGTTGAGAATTGAAGATCCTGGGAAATACAAACTGGCTTTGAGAATGACGCCAAGACTTTGATGAATTGCTGTTTTTTTTATTGCTCTTATAGGCAGCCGAGCATACGGCCCACCTGATGGTGAGTGGTTACCGTCGCCCATGGACTTCAGCAATGCCAGGGGCAGAGCTGAGTCGCTACCTACAAATGTTATGTTGTTATCAAGAGCTATTCAGCGTCAAGACATTTATTAGAGACGCCTTGTCAGCCAATATTCTGTAATGCTGTTGCGCGCATTTCTATATTTCTATAATTTTGTGATTTGTTATCCCACAGGCAATCAATATCGCGGTATAGTTGAATAATCTTTAAGTTCTCCATGTCGTTTACTTTTCTTGTTATTTTGTGATGTAGTGCAACGCAGCGTGGTCCCCGTGCAATAAAGCGGCAGCGACTGACTTCGTCATTTACACGGCTGCGTCAGTAGCGCTGGCGTGGGTGGGGAGAGCGGAATGACGCAGAAAAATATAAAGCGTGAATATTGGAGTCAGCACTGACGCGACAGTACTGTACTGACTTGTAATCAATTTACACGATGGCAGTACCAGGTCAGCACTGACTCGGCAGTGCACTGCACTGACGGTCGTTAGGGACTTAATAAAAATCTGCCTTCATTTAAAGTGTCAAAGATGTCAGAGCTCAGAGCTGTCAGCTGTCACACCGTTTAATAAAGTTTCTTCAAGGGACTTCTTTTTACGTATATTCATTAATATCAACGTCATTACAATTAAAGCTTACTTCAATTTATACACTTCATTAAACGTAATTGTATTACTACTCGTCATGTTTCGCTGTGGACGTCGCATAACACAGTTAATAATACGAAAGTCTCGAATTACTTCCGCGGGCTATTTGAAGTTGAACTATGCACGAAAACAATTATCATCGAATGGTATGCGACGTTTATCGTCCGATTTTTTCTATAATTCATTTTTAAATTATCCAACAATACGTTAATTAGATTTATAATTAATTTATAAATTACTCTTACACAGAATATAAAGCAATCCCACAGTTGAACGCTTTATCCCTGAGATTGTATTCAGAGTCGAAAGTCGAGACTAAGGTGGCGGATTATGATGAAGTAGTTAAAGCGATATCCAATAATAATATTCTACTGATAGACGTTAGAGAACCTGATGAAGTGAAAGATCATGGACATATACCAAATAGTATAAATATACCTTGTAAGTAATCAGTAATCAATGTATTGTGCCTTTTGAGCATTCTATGTTGATAGCATATTATACATCCTATAATAATAATAACAATAAAATCACTAGACCCCATCCATCGAAATTCTTCAGAGATACCTCAAAATTTTAGTTCATTTTATGTAATACAGTTTATCTACAGTTTATTAATGTCACTTTAAAAAACTCAACAAAGTATTGATATTGACACTGAAGATGATCAATAAATACCAGACATAAAAGAGTAAGAAAATCTGTTAAAAAACAGTCAAGAAAATAAGTAACTGTCTTCGCTCATTTATATCTATATTGTTTTACGATTCCAGTAGGTACAATATCAACTGTACTTGGTGAAATGTCAGATAAAGAATTTAATAAAACCTACAAGAGACCAAAACCAAATCAAAATACTGAACTGATATTTTATTGTATGGCTGGGAGAAGATCTGCTAAGGCTCAAGAAAGTGCTATAAATCTTGGATTTAAAAAGTATGTTTACAATTTATAGTTACTTAAAATAAGTTATATAAATAAATAAATATATTTTATGGTTATTGTAGCACAGCATAGTATTACAAAAATTGATGTTACAATGTTCCATGTAACCTTGGTTTTCAGCTTTACTTGATACATTTCATGTAGATTGTATTTATCATGACCTCTAAAAGGACAATAATATTAATACCATATGATTTTGCATAGATATTAAATAAGTCATTTTAAGCATAATGACCTAGTTGATAAGATACAAAATAATCTGATCACTGGTTAACCGACTTAATAATCAGAATAATTGTTTGTCTTCAACAATAATAATTTTATGATTATTTTATCTGTGGTTGGTTTGGTGATGAAACCTTGTTGTATTACTAAATTAAAGTCTCAAAGCTAATTTACCAAGACATTTTATGTGTTTTTGGTTAGTTCTTAAGCAAATTATGGTACCTATTTTGCTAAACCCTTGCGCATAAATTTAAGCCAAGCTGTCCATTCTGTAAATTGTTTTAATATTATATGTACCTTGTATGTAAATTAATATATTAGACATTGATTTGTGGTTTTAATATGCTGGAGACTATCTATAACTGCATGTAACATTTAGTTTGGTTCATTAATTTATTCTTTAATAATTAGATCCTCACTATCCCCTTATTATTCTACATTAATTGAGATTTTGTTTTAATGAAGATTAGCTATTAGTTTGAAAAAAATGGATAATGGTGTATGATGAGCGACTTTGTAAATATATTTTTTATGTTTCAGTACAAAGAATTATCAAGGCAGCTGGACTGAATGGGCGAGTAAAGGAAAATGATTTATTTTGAAATGAATATTAAATCTCATATTTGTTTTAAAATGACAAGATAACCCTTGTCAGCTAATTTATTATTGTTATCAATGAATAAAGTTGTTATCCCATGTCTTTTATTGTATGTTGTCAAGCTGCAAAATTAGAGAGTAGAGTAGACAATAACATTAATTATGTACTTTTTTGTCATACATTTACACAGTTATCAGAAATTTCTTGGACACAATGATATTCTTGATAAAAATAGCTCCACCATGGCATTGATAAGTGCTGTTTAATTGCGGCGAAATGACTAAGGAGTTCCTCCTAGAAACTTGCCGAAAATTTTCTGATAATCTGTTACTAAATTGAATACGAGCTGCATTTTCGGACCGGTAGATGAGCTCACGGGCTGAATCTGAGAGATAGGCGAACACTGGCCTTAGCAAGAACAGTGATTTGAGTCGACTATTATCAAAGGCGGCAATCTGACTTTTGGACAATGATTGGTAAATCACAAAAACGAATTATTGACTTTGTATTCCATTGGCAGTCACAAAACTCTTCGGAACGACATCTTAGATAAATAACAGGTTAACTATTAACCTTTATTTAATGCAGGTTTTGAACCGTATTCTTTGAAGGAGACGATTATATTCAAATAAATCTGTATTGACATATCAATAAAAATGTTTTGTCCAAATGCACAGATTGCCACCTTTGATNCCATTGGCAGTCACAAAACTCTTCGGAACGACATCTTAGATAAATAACAGGTTAACTATTAACCTTTATTTAATGCAGGTTTTGAACCGTATTCTTTGAAGGAGACGATTATATTCAAATAAATCTGTATTGACATATCAATAAAAATGTTTTGTCCAAATGCACAGATTGCCACCTTTGATAATAGACGACTCATTTGTCGAATGTACCACCGGATCAGAATCGCGACCCACTGAGAACGTCCGGCGAAAAACTCAGTGGTTCAAAACCTGCATAGTGTGTATATTTGTATTGCCTATGCAAGCAGAAGTGTTTATGTTCCGCTTCTAATAACATCAATCGGCATAATTATTTCAGTGCGCCACGGAAGGCACTAGTGACCTACATGGCAGTCAAAAGGTTAAGTTTGTGCTTAGTGTAACTCCCCTCATTCAATTAGTTATCAACCCTGGCCACCGTTTTCCGTATAGTCTAATATGTGAATTTGAAAAAGTAGCAGATATAGGAGTCCGTCATTATAGATTTAAAAGACGATTCCGATGACGACTTATTTTGTAGCGATACCTAATAAATACACAATCACAGGTAGTGAAAATAGAAAAATATTTTAGTAATTAACAAAGATATTTTTATTTCAATATATCACATATCTACGTAAAATCATTTCACCAATTAGTTAACAAATTAACAAAATTACCTTGTGTTCAAATTTCATCATGTCTTTATCACAATATGAAGATATACATAATAATATCTATATTAGATAGAAATCTTCGATTTCATTATTTTTGTGTTCTAGACCATTCATTCCAGCTCCCCAAATATGTTTTCGACCTGAAACAATTCACATAACGTATAGTACAATATGCCAATACAAAATGTTTTAGATAGTAAGTTACGGCATTAATAACGACGGTTAAGTCACACATTCATTTGGCCCCAAAGTAAGGTTTTCTCTACTAAGGCAATCAGATACTAATATACATTCCATATAAAATTTTACATAGATAGATATATTAAGAACCCGGAAAAAGCAAATACATTATCATATTCATCACACAAATGTTTGCCCGTTGTAGTCTAGTCAACAAGTTCAAAAACGTGTTAAATAGACATAAAGCTCCTAAAAATATGTACGATAGCTCATTGGATGCGGAATGATGTCTACAAAAATGTTTTTTAAGGGCTTATTAGCACATAAAAAATTGCGATTGTTATAAACAAAATAAGATTAAAAAAAAANATCATTATTTTAGAAATAATTAAGGAAAAACCAAATTCCTTTTTTTTTAAATCTTATTTTGTTTATAACAATCGCAATTTTTTATGTGCTAATAAGCCCTTAAAAAACATTTTTGTAGACATCATTCCGCATCCAATGAGCTATCGTACATATTTTTAGGAGCTTTATGTCTATTTAACACGTTTTTGAACTTGTTGACTAGACTATTGTGGGGGAATCGAACCCACAAACATCGGCCCAACACACAAGGACTCAAGTTGGTAATAATATGTCTTGCCATTTAAATACTTAATTTTACGTTTCTTAATTAGACCAGATATACCTAAACATATATTTTTTTAAACACCGATATATTATCACGCTCCTTTCCGTCACCGACCAAACTGTTGCATAGAGTGACCTACATATCGAGGGGTGGAAGGCTATTTGGTTTAAGCGACATTTCACTTAACACTCGTCATTTATCTTTGTAATTAAAGTTCCGTTTTATTTGGTATTAACATCAACAGTTCGATGTTTTTAATTGCACTTCAATGAAGTTTATACCATTCAAATAGCTGAAGAAGTGTTTATTGTTATGATATTTCCTTTAAATTTCAAAATTTAAATGGCTTCCTGTAAAGTTCCAAAAATGTCGCTTAAACCAAATAGCCTTTTATCTCTCGATATAATTCACAGCGCTATATGCTACTTGCATGCCAAGCGACGTCGCCTGAGCTTCTGTGACCTGCTTCTTATGCTAGTCTAACATACGGTGACCATCCTTTTTGTATCAAAAAGAGGACAAGGAGCAAAAAAAAAATCTATAACAATTATTAATAGGTTTAATACAGTTTAACAACAGTTAACAATTACAAAACAGTGGTCATATAATATGGCTCATATTTAGCACTGAACGAACGAAACTGAGAGTGAGCGACCTTACCTACCTACCTACCTACCTGTTAGGGCCTGTGCACACCACGTTTTTTAAACGCGCGTCGACGGCGCGCTTTTATCCTACCGAGCGGTTTGTTGTCGTTTGTATCGATACAGACGCGATGCCAACGCGCATGTGTATCGATACAAACGCGCATTAGCATCGCATCTGTATGGATTCAAACGTGTATTTGAATTTATACAGGTGTGCAAAGGTCTACAGGTTTCTTCTGAGTTGTGTGCGTATCGCGTTTGTAGCGCTACAAACGCGCGTCGACGGCGCGCTTTTATCCTACAGAGTGGTTTGTTGTCGTTTGTATCGATACGAACGCGATGCTAACGCGCATGTGTATCGATACAAACACGCGTTAGCATCGCGTCTGTATCGATTCAAACGCGTATTTGAATGTATACAGGTGCGCAAAGGTCTACATTGTAGACCTTTGCCTGTAGACTCTGTAGACTCTACAGGCTGCGTCTGACTTGCGTGCGCATCGCGTCTGTATCGCTACAATCGCGCGTCGACAGCGCGTTTAAAAAACGTGGTATGCACAGGCCCTCAGTGAGCGTGCCGTGATTTTTATAGTATAGGTTAGTACCTATAGTTATTAGTTTTTACTTGTCATTTAGCGATCAATGTTTACACTAGTCAATTAGTCTACTCTATCGGTAACACATAACTTGTTTTACGCTAAAGGTTCGTCCCAAGTTAATGTACATAGAAAACAAATCTAAACGATTATTTGCGAAAATAATTATTATACAGTTATACTATTTTTTACATTAAAAAAAGACGAAATTTGAGTATAATTTAAATTTCATTAAAAAACAGTACAAATAAATAAAACAGGACATATACGCTTAAAAAACAAGTACAATCCTGCCAAAAATAGCGAGTGGTCACCGTAGTCTAACACGCAAACGGTGGCAAACAGTTTTCGTGTTAGACTGCGTTAACAACAATCGACAGAACAGGGATGAACCTATCACGTCATCGCGTTGCTCAAAGTAAGTGGCACTGCCATAAATAAGTGACGATCATTTCCAGTGGTACAGTTGCAAAGAATGGCTTTGTGAAACAAAGCTTTTACCTTTTTTTAGTATTAAAAATCCTTTGATTGTGTTATAGCAAATTATTAGTAGTCTTTAAATTTTTTCTTTCTTAGCTGACGATACCATCATTGTTGTCGCAAAGAAAACAAGACATACATATACGCGTATACAGTCTGTTTTACGTAAAGCGCGTCACATCCCCATCACTTAAATAGATAGATCAAACTGCTTTTCATTATTATTTCTAAGACGATAATACAAGGCTTTCTTTGACAATCGAATTTCGTGGCTACAAGATTGTTGACCATGGTCACCCTTTATTATTTGGAATAACTTAACTTACTTGGAATAACCCAATTTTAATGCTATGTCCAATGCCTCAGTTGATCTTCTTCCGGAATGACAGTAAAATATCAGTTCATCTGTTGAACTAGGTTTGTTTCTTTGATATTGTTTCTTGAACTCCTCATCAGACATTGACACCAGAACCTCTTGAACACTATTTACTGGGGAAAAAATTATAATGATTAGTGTATCAGTTGTTTTGATGGCAGAAAGACATGAGTGCACTGTATTTTTGATTAAGTTTTTTTAATCATTAAAACCACTGGTTGCTTTTTTTGCTAGTCTCAATAATTCTAAGCATAAATCAATACAAACATAGCTATTAATGAAAGAACTAAAATTTGTTCAGAAATAAAAGTGATAAGTATTAGGTTTTCAGTGTTTCTGCAGCATTTCTGATTTATCCAGAATATACTGTGAGGAATTTTGTTTTTGTTTACATAAGATTAGTAAATAGAGACAATAAAACGCTATTGTAAATAAGTTGCTGATAAGGTAATATTATAAAAGTAGTCAGACTATTGTCTTGTAAAATAATTCATTATTTAGATACTAATTCCCAAAAACTTTCATAAAGTTTTTGGCACTACTGGCCCAAAAGTTGGGCAAAGTACTGAAAGACAGGACAGAATCAAGACACTGTCTTGACGTATAGTTATGGCAATTGTACTCGAAATGAAGTGAAGCCTAAGTAAAACTATAATAATAAAGGAAGCACAATTAAAAAGTGATTGTTTTTTTTGGTGAAAGTCAAAAATATTATATTCAAATCAATAATGGCTACAGCTTTAGTTTAAATTCCAGAATATTGACGAAGATCTTCAAAATTCTTTTTCGTCTGTCCACAGTTGTTTTATTTATTAAGTTTTAGCTGAGGTTCTTAAAGAATCTGGAAGTGTATATAACATGTTTCCATTTAAAAAAAACTGTAATTTGAGATGTAGAGACCCAGGGAGCAACCTGATTATCTATAATATGCTGCAGGCAAATTTCCCAATTCACATTGATTTCTCAACCTCAGGCAGTACAGGGGAATAGGAGGATCATTGTGTGTCATATTTTGACCAGAACACATCTATATCAATCATAAGTCTATTGCTTTTCTTCAATCAATCAATTCAATTGTTCAAATCAGTTCAATTAAGTCTTAAGACCTCATCTTAGCATCAAAATTCTAAAAGATGCAGGCATTTTTTCTCACAATTATGTAGCATCATTTGTCTTTTTGAGTGAAGTGATTTTCCATGGGCCTATTTTTTCTAATACTGTGAATTAACTAATGGCAGGCTAAATTATACCAGAACCAACTCCATGCCCATTTCTGTCAAAAAGCAGTTCCATCCAGAGTTCCAGTTCGAAAGACAGGACAGCCATTGAAACAATATAATTGAGACTAAGATCTCTAGTTTCGAGGTGGGTGGTAGGATTCGCATTGTGATGTCAATCGACTCCATTAATCACTTAACGTCAGGTGGAGTGTCAGGTGAGCTAGTTCATCCTTCGAAGGCAAAAAAATTAAAAATACACTGTGAAATTATATTAAATTCTAAACGATTTAATAGGTCTTTTCGTAGTTATAGCCAGGAGCTCTATAAATTTTAACAAGTCACTTAAGATATCGGTGAAAAAAGATATTTGGCTCATAATGGGAGTAGTTTAAATTATCAGGTTAAAGTAGGTAAACAGAAGCACAATGTGGATTTACTTACGTGGAATATTGATGCTTGAAGGTATTTTTCCAGTTGTGTTTACTTCATCAGGATTACGCACGTCGATCAACACCTTTTCGGGTTGATGAATAACTTTCAATACATCTTCGTAGCTTACTACTCGTCGCGGATCAACCATTTTATTTTCCTTTTTATCCGATACTAAGAGCCTAATAGAGCCTAGTAGATGCAAGTTGTTGTTGTAAGGCAAGAAATATTTTTTAAATTTTAAACTGTAAATTTTGTCTTGGAGACCAGTGATAATGTTATGTGCTTTAAAGGAATTATTCGTAGAATCCGTATAATTTAATAGATGATATTGAATAGAACATAACGGTCGGATATTCAATCGTGTTAATATATGACACATCAGATGATGTGCGCTTAATTAAGTAAAAAAATAATAGCTTCAATACGGTAGGCACATAAAGCTTTCTGTTTTTTGTTTTGTTTGTTTTTTTTTTAGTTTATGGCCTGGTATAGACCTTTAGGCCAATTTTGTTTGATTCGTCCATTGCAAAGACAGACAAAGGCAACATCATACAGCCTAATATTTTGAAATCAAAATGGAAATATAATGACTGATTATGATGAAACTGTATGAAACAAAATAGCATTATGCTCTGGGGCTTGGTATAAATAAAACCTCACTGAAGTATAAATTAAAACTCAATTTAATTATTAGAACGCTTATGGTACACTTCACAATTCGCAATTCACATCTTGCGCTTTGCTTCAGGTTCAGGTAATCCGTGCGCTGTTTCATTCCGAGTAGAATAGCTATCATGATCTATGCAAGTGTAGTGTTCGCTCACGCGGTGTTGAAGAGCTAACGTAACCTATTTATTATACTTGCACGAAATGATACATACTGGCCATTAATAAGCGTTTGTTTTTAAAAACATGTCTGTCATTAATATTCTATTAAGTATTGTATTGATTTCATAGACCTATATGTTTCATACTTCAGTGATTGATTTTAATATGAACGTAATGTCTTATAACAAATAAAATGGTTGAATGTAAATAAAACAACAACATAATCTTACAGGTCATTTTAATTCATATCACGCGGCCTATACAAACATTAACACTCTCGGGGTCATCCAATCCCGTTTCAGCAGGATAGCCGTCGGGAGCGCTGTATGTGGGGAATGTAGATCTTTACAACGACCTAAATCTAGTACCGATACGTAAGTATCGTATAGAAGCGTGAGAACGTTACTTCAACAAAGCGGCGCAACACGAAAAACCCTCTTACCGTGGCCGCTAATTACTTAACCGACCGCGACGGGACAAAGTAAAACCGCGGTCGCCCGAAACATGTCTTGTCTTATCCCCCGGATTCACTCTCAGTGCTTTTAGGACCCATAAGCACCTGTCACCGGCCTCGTCGACTCCACTGAGTTTCTCGCCGGATCTTATCAGTGGGTCGTGATTCCGATCCGGTTGTAGACTCTGCGAACCACTGCTCTTGCTAGGGTTGTGAAATCAATCAATTAAAGGACAATTTCATTCAGAAACATACAAATCTTTTTTTTTTTCATTTACGATTGATAGTATAATGTGCCACTGGTGTTGTTGAAGAGTTTTTGAAAGGATCGGCAACAGAATTTTATAAGCAAGCCGTGTATATCTGGACCAGTGGATTTTGTTTCTGACAAACCAAATGGAGATATAGTTAATAGTACTCGCATAGACAAAGAAGTGTTTGACGATTTTCTATTAAACTTCTAACTAGGTACATCATATCGCCAAAAGTAACGGAATTGAATAGGTGATATATATTTTTTTTTATTGCTTAGATGGTTGGACGAGCTCACATTCCACCTGGTGTTAAGTGGTTACTGGAGCTCATAGACATCTACAACGTAAATGCGCCACCCACTTTGAGATATAAGTTCTAAGGTCTTAGTATAGTTACTACTATAGGGAGGGTAGGCGAAGCAGTGCCACGATTACATCGACTGTGTATTCATAAGTGATTAAAAATAAAAAAAGTGTACTAAACTATAGAAAAAGTGAATAAAAGTGACACGTTACACTTAATAGAATTAGTGGAATAGTAGACTTGAAAAAAGAACCGAAAAATAGAAAAATTGGACGAACATTGTGAAACCGGTGCTATACCNTAGCACGACTCAGGGATGGGAGATGGACATCGAAAGTAACTGCATGGGACGGTCCACAGGGCAAGCGGCGCGTCGGCAGACCGTACACGCGTTGGGAGGATGATATTAGAAAGGTTGCTGGACCACACTGGATTTATGTCGCCAGAGACAAAGCAGAGTGGAAATCTTTGGAGGAGGCCTTTACCTGAGAGGGGTCCATACATATATTACATAAAGTAACTGTACAAAAAAAAAAAAAAACATATTTTAATTGCATGGAATAAAAGGCTTATTATTATTATTATTATTAGTATAGTTACAACGGCTACCGCACCCTTCGAACCGAAACGCATTACTGCTTTACGGCGGAAATAGGCGGGGTGGTGGTACCTACCCGTGCGGACTCCCAAGAGGTCCTACCACCAGTGATTACGTAAATTATAATTTTGCGGGTTTCATTTTTATTACACGATGTTATTCCTTCACCGTGGAAGTCAATCGTGAACATTTGTTAAGTACGTATTTCATTAGAAAAATTGGTACCCGCCTGCGGGATTCGAACACCGGTGCATCGCTACACACGAATGCACCGGACGTCTTATCCTTTAGGCCACGACGACTTGTTAAAATGCTTCCCTAGAAACTTGTTGGGAGGAAGTAGGTATTCAAACACTTTCTCGCCAACAATCTTCAAAACAAATAAACAGATGTTTCGTTTTGAGTGAAAAATATCACGTTACGTTATACCATGACAAAAGGCTATCGTGGACTATGTTTGGCACCGATGAGTCCATCTCTGAGGAGCGGAAAGTAACTGAACGTATCACGGAGTGGGGGATCTTTCGATCGAGCATCAGGTATACTGCAAAGAGGCCTATGTAGACGTCTGTGGGCTGAAATATAGATACTTTTGCATTTGGGCACTAATATTAACAAGTTTTATGGGTATTGAACAACAATTGAACACACGAACATGCTCCATACGGTCGGGATTCCATTTACGGATTCTCTCCGACGGGATATCGGATCGGATTCGGATCGAAAGCGTCTAATCAGGGCTTATAAATAAATTAATAGCAAATATCTACTTCTGATTCATGTCTAGCTTTTTTTTATTGCCAAGATTAGGGGGAATTCTCAATGTGCCGCCACCCGCCTTGAGATATAAGGTCAAATTCTAAATTATATTATATAGCGGTAGTCCCATCCTTCAAGAATACCACTGCACAAGAAAGGTTCTACGAAACAAAATGACAGCTACCGTACCCTTGCTCTGATATCACATGCGAGCAAAATCACGCTCCATATCTTAAATCACCGCATCAGGTACTACATAAATTGGCAGATTCCGCAAGAGCAATCAATTTGTGTTTTGTGGACTACAGCAAGGCTTTCGACTTTATGAAGTGGAGGTTCCCTTGAAGGGTGTTGGCCGATATAGGTGTTCTAAAACACCTAATTGCGTTGATGTATTAAAAAACCCAAGATACACACTCACCGTCTCAAAACCGTCCCTATAAAATGAACGCACAATTTAAAATTGTGCGCTCATTTCAAATAGTCTCGCGTCGCTCGCGTCTCTGTGCGCTCGTTAAAAAGCCGCAGTGTTCGTTGAGAAATTGTAAAAAAAGATGGGATATCGTATATTCGGTAAGTAAAAGAGTTTGTTCATTTGTTTTTGTTGTTTTTATGACTAAATATAGGAAGCAATATGGGATTTTGATTTAATTTGTCTAAAAACTTCACTCAGCGGTCCAAGTATAATACGGCAAATTTCAATGGCCGTTTTTTCAGTGTAAGAACTACTATTACACCGCCTCTTATTTTAGTCACATAATCCAAACGATCCTGTTCTTATTCAATGGAGTCGATTTTTTTTATTGCGTTTAAAGTTTTCATTAATAAGTTTATGCACTTTGATTTTTTTTGTATTTAGTTTTGAATAACTATTCATACGATAGAAAATATATTATAATAATAATATAGTTCTTAATCGAATTCCAAAAGGAAAAGAGGTCGTCAATACGACGTTATTTTTAAAGTTCGTAAATATGATATTATTATATTGATTACTTAAGGGACAACTTATGGCTTCGGGACATACTGCATGCTAATGACAGAAGTGTCGATCAGGCTCAATAGGTCACATTGTTAAAAACTTTAAAATTTCACTTCTGTCGGCAGTCTTTATGACTGCCTAGTTTTTTGACACTTTTTTTTATTTTAAGAAGTAGGTTGATTTCGATTTTTGTAGGTAATTTAAGTATCGGGTATAAATTACGGGCGACTATTGAACAAGAAAAGTTGTTTTATTTCCAACTTTTATATTTTAGTTTTCCTCGTAACCCAATACGATGCGGAGAATGGACATCAATCGTCAGTCAACAAAGATATACCAGATGATGGGGGTGATACTGAAGTCTGTCGTAGGGGTTCAATGTTTTATTTAGAAAATAACAAGGAATTCAAATCTCCTACTACTTCTCTGAGTATAGGCTCAATTTTGGTTCGAAAAGTCCTCGAAAAATTCACAGAAAAAGTGAACTCCACAAATGCCGCAGAAGACTAATCAGCAAGGAGAAAGTCATTAACAACTTAAGAAAGAAAAAATCTAGACTTGTTAAAAAGACCATTTCACTTAAGAATGCATTAAAAGTTTTAGAGAAAAGATTTAAAGATTGATGTACACATGTCCTACCCAAAAACATATTTACGCTCAGATAAAAGTATAATTATGAGTATAGAACACAATTTAACTAACTCTTCAAATACAAACTCAATGTATTATAATTTTTAAAAAAATTCGTCTCCACGCCATGTCCTGTCCTGCCGGCTAACTTCGGTCGTAAAATTTGATTGGTTATTGTACACTGCTTTGTAATAACAACTTTAAACAATGCGCGTAAAGTTGAATTTGCAAAAGTTATGTTTATAGTTGACTATAACTACGTAGATATAACTGGTGAGTGTTTCGGGACAGTTTCGAGTGCTACTTTTGTATGAAACTGTGTATCTTGGGTTTTTATGTATCAATGCCTAATTGCCATGTATTATGGGAGTAGAGGCATGGTCAGAATAGAACAGAGCATGTCCAAGTCGTCCAAGTCCAATGTTTCGGAAAGAGGATACGCCAGGGCTGTATTCTCTTGCCCAGTCGCTTCAATGCCTACGGTGAATATATCATGCCACAAACTCTCGACGATTGCAGCGGAGGTGTATGCGTCGGTGGAGCCAAAATTACACACCTTCGGTACGCCGATGACACAACTCTAGTGGCCGCTATTGAGTCCGAGATGGCTATGCTTTTGGATAAAACGGAAAGAATAAGTAACCG